ACAGTAGGGGCAACACCTTTCTTTGGTTTTGAAATTCGAACTTCAAGAATTGCTCGGGGTATAGATTTTAGATAATATAAAACAAAATTTATTTGAATCCAATGCAAATTTCACACATGTCGTTAAATTCTTAAAATAAAAAATTAAGATAGGTATACGGATTTTGGGGAGACAGCTACATGATTTATACTCTTGTTGCATTATTCCTATTTTTTTAGTTTGAGTATAGGCTATCTTACACTTGTACTTCTGAAAATGGGCCTAAAAAATTACCCTTTCTTCTCCAATAACCCTATTGCCTTGTGTACTCCTCTTGAATGACATACTTGGTAAGGCTATAATGTTACATTTGATTATGTATTCTTGAGGTCTCCGCTGCTTCCGTTGCTTTTAAGCGGTAGAGCCTCAAAGGACATGATTTGATAGAACCCAGGAACTCTAGGTGCTGATATGGGCTGTACTGCTCCATTTGTATAGAAACTATAATGTGTCAACTCGTGTCTTGTAATGGTTTGCTGCTCTAGCACTTGAGTTTTGAATCTCAATCATGGAAATTGACTCTTGTCTTTTTGCTTTTACATGACTGACACTGGAAAATTCTTCCTAATTCTAATCAATTGAAGCTACTGGTTGCATTACTCATTGTTGCACTGCATTTTTTTCCTTGGCTTTCTTTTTATTTCTCTATCTGTTCACTTCTAGTCTTCTATAACCTTTTTTCCCATTCAATATCTTCTGACAGATTATTTAACAAGTACAAAGAATATGATTTTGCTAGGACTGGAAGCATTTCAACAGCAAAGGTATGGTGGCAGTTCTTATGTTTGTCAGACTTCATGCACTTGGGTGCCACATGAATTTGAATGGTTTTACAGAGTGTCTGAAGGTAAAAATTCACAACATAAATGGCCCATCAACGAAATATGAGTCATTCCTACATGTGATCGAATGGGATGAACTTTGAAGGGATTTCTCATGTACCCTCTCCCCAAAATCTTTGCTGATGGTGAGAATCTTTCCAATTTGTCTGGCCCATTCATGGTCAAGGGTTTTTGTTGTTAATTAAATCTTTATCCTACGGCAATGTAATCTTTAAATGGTTTGCTGCATACCATTGACTTAATATATGATTCGCAGGTGTGGTGGAGCTTGTTTCAGACTTTGTTGTCTGTGAAGAGGGGAAGCCGCTGTCACCCGAGTCATCTCGCATACTGGTTGGTTCAAAATATCCAAATGTTGCATCTTTTGACTGCTACATTACTTAAGATGGAAAACTTCATACATGTGTTTGGGGTTTTCTGTACACTCACATGGTATTTGTTCTGATGGGAGTCCCACCAAGGCAACGTAGGATTCTTTCCACACAATTTGGGGTTTAAAGTATATCTACTTATGACGAACACAAGTGTACTACACATCTTCAGAAGATCAGGTGCAAGTTGGCAATACTACTTGGCGTTGGGGGGGTTACCAGTTTAAAACTCTGATTGTGACTCTTCCATAGATGCCGTAAATTCTGATTGGGGAGATGCTTCCACACATTTTTTCTTCTTTTTTCCTTTTATTTTTGGGTGCATTTTTGTTCATTTTTAGTTTAGGAAACAGCATATCTCTGTCAATTTTTTTTTTGTATGTACACGGCCTAAGATATGCTGTTGTCGCGACTTATTTGTGTTATGTTACACGNTTAAAACTCTGATTGTGACTCTTCCATAGATGCCGTAAATTCTGATTGGGGAGATGCATCTGTAGACATTTTTTCTTCTTTTTTCCTTTTATTTTTGGGTGCATTTTTGTTCATTTTTAGTTTAAACAGCATATCTCTGTCAATTTTTATTTTTGTATGTACACGGCCTAAGATATGCTGTTGTCGCGAGTTATTTGTGTTATGTTACACGTAAACCGGTCTTCAACAGATAGTAGTAGTGGCTGTTGCAAATTATTGAACATGGGTTTGGTGTTATGCAGCGTCTGCTGGGTATCAAGATGGCTACCTTCCGGCTTCACTTGATATGCAGATCGAGCCCGGAGGAGTTCGAACTATATAAAGAAGGTTTGGATGATTCAGATGTTGAATCCTCGTAGGATGCCAACAGTGGGAGTGATACTGAGCCCTTGTAACCTTACCAAGCAATGCCTTTAAATAATTTTTATTATTTTTTTTTCCGTAAAACTGTTTTTAAAAATCATATAACTATACAAGTTTTGCGGCACAAAAAACACCAAAACGATTTTCTAAAATTATTCCTAAAAACAGTTTTTGAATACAAAACAGAAACCTTTATTTCTTTTGCTAAGAAGAAAAAAAGCAAAGGATCAGAATTACGCTGCGTACGTGTATGAAAAAGTGCTAGTATGTATAACATAATTTACTATAAAACTTTATATGGGTTTGCAAAGACTTGATATCTAAGATCAGACATGATTCAATTACATTTGGTAAGACAACATAATTAATTATACAGAATATCTACCCACCTTATAGGTTGTGATGACAAAAGGTAAAGGGCAGCAAAATGATTTCTAGTCTAGAATTTAATCAAGCAGACCAAGTGAAATAACTTAGATTTATCTTCTTTTTTTCTTCTTTGTTTTGGATTTATTAGTCAGTTCTCTGCCCAAGTGATACATCAGGATTTTGAGTTTGAGAACCAACTTCTATCCGGAATTTGAGTCTGAGAACCAACTTCTCCGAAATAAAACTATTGACGACTCACCTCTCTCATGCCACACTATAGACGAACCTCAGATACGACTTTTAAATTCGCCTTCTATTCCATCCGGCACGAAGAGGGTTTGGTGCATGCTTGGTGAAGGCATGCTCCTATGTTAGGTCCCCTTTGTTCATGAGTAGGCAAGTTGAAGCATGTTTTGGAAAAGAACATCCAGAATATACGCACACAAAGCTCAGAGTCCACCACAAGTCCAAGGCACAATTTATCTCCAAAGGGGGCCTGGTTTGATGATCTGTTGACACACCCCTTTTACAGTGAGAAGAAAACATCATGAAGCAGAAGACCAAAACTGGGAATTTGTCCAATGGTGGCATAAGTGAATTTCAGGACCAATGGTTGAACAAACTGCGCTGACAGCATAGATGGTTTGGCAAAGCAAAATCAAGAAATATTTTACCGTCCCTTCCCAAGATGTAGTGTTTACACCTTCATCAAGCAAGGGTAACTAACTTAACTACAGCTCCTTCACCCTAAAAACAAACCTCAATTTGATGATGTTGCGAGTTCAGCTTTTTTATGTTCCAAGAGCTTTAGCTCCTTGCGCCAACTTTCCAATTTAGCCATCTTCTCCAATTGTTCGGGCTTCATATCTTGCTGCACAGTTTTTTGCTGTTGCACTTCTGTTAACCGTATCTGTAAGTGAACAAAAAGTTAGGCATACTATTAATACCTCAATTAGGCACCATTCTCATTATTCTTGAACTCATGCACACTCAAAAAATGAGCATAAGAAAATTGGATCTCACATTGTGAAGCCTTCTAGTCATATTGTAAGTCATTCTGAATAACCTTATGATCTATATGGTTCACAAATAATCCCAGAGAAAAAGTCATGTTTTTCACATCTTTTGCCAAGTACGAACAGCATCTAACAGTTAAAAACTTAAATAGTCCAGAAATGGTTACTTTTCTAAGCTTAAGGACAGTTTTTTCCTTGCAGAATTTACCACAGAAGATAAACAAATAAAGCAACATGGAACTCAAGCTGAGCACTACAAAGGTGCTCTTTCTACCTCTTCTACAATGGGATTATATAGCCTGAATTCTTCCCGATTACTGTTCATACAACAAGACCAAAGAAAACCTGGCATCCGGGAAACACTAGAGCTATCCAACCACCAACTTTCACCAATATAAGGTTCAAGCAGTTAACTATACAACAGCCCAATGACTTATAATCAATGGTATGAACACTGCTATTAGAGGACAGCAATATATTTTAGCATGTTCCGGTTTCCTGGATTCTAGAAAAGTCATTATCCCATTTGGACCCTATTAATTTGGCTATTTCCACTAATTGGCTTCCCTCAAACTTCAGATCCAGAAACTCATGGTTGCTGACCCAAACTTCTACCGCTGCAACCGTGGCCGACCACTTGTTTTCATGGCTGACATTTTTGTCGCTTGCATTATGAATTTAGTTTGATCAAACTGCAAATTCATCAATCACGTGGAAGAGGAAACTCACATGGATGGAGACGGAAGCCTATTTCATTATAGAAACAGGTCCAAGTCAAAGTGGGTATATGATATATCTTTGAAAATAGATAGAAAGATTCAACATATGATCAATGGCCAACCACTTCATTAATTTGAGCCAAGTCCATTTCGACTGAAGTATTGTACTGGCCCAGTGGCATTGGAAAATTCTGGGCAACAGTGTGCTTTATTCTGGACCATTTCTTATTCTTAAAATACAAAGCATCCATCAGCAAGCAAGGAAGCACCATCCTTGTTTCGATGTAAATAGATATCAGTGGCCTATTTTCCATATTCAGGAGGGATGGTTTCTCATCCTATCAGGTTCTCATATTAGTTAACATAGGTTTTGACACTTATTTATACTTTTCAAACACGCTGTGACGAATTATCAGGAAATGAAACTCAGCAGGTTCGACCTTTAAATGTATGAGAGTTTTTTCTTAACACAGTTTCAAAGTATTACTTCATTTTAAGGTTGGTTCCGCCTGTACAACACCTATTTTGTTGACAGACATAGTCTCTGTTGAATGGGCAAATCAGCTGCTGTATTGATTATTTAAAACCAGAAAAAACTTGTCCGAAAGATGACTTCCCCACGCCAAACATGGATCTGTTTTGCTACAAGATGACATTAATATAATGAAAATTCCCCCAGAAAAACTACAACCCTCTTAAAGCTCAGACTGGGAGTATCTAGTGCAAATTGGAAAAAAGGCGTTGACAGTTGAAACAGAGTGTGGAACAGATTCTACTCATGAATATAAGCAAGGAATGCCATAAGCATCAGAAATTTACCTTTTTCTTCAGTGCACGAATTCTTTTGTCAATATCTTGAACACAATCCTCGGGTGTTGAACACTCTGTTGAGTTTGAGGAAGGGGTAACTACACTTGCATTTGCATAAATAGTGAGCTCATTTATCTGGGAAGTCACCGACTCAGCAGATTCTGATCCCTGACTTGCATCTTCTGCCGGAGATACCTCATTATTGCCCAAATGCTTATCCTTATCGAGAGCAGCCTGCTAAGAGAACATCGAAACTTACAAGAAGAATCAAAAGAGAAGAAATTAATTACAAATACAGAAAATATTGTTGTTATTGACTTTGCAATATTTCTACTGTTTATCTGCCCATTACTAAGAGCCCAAGGAAAAATATAAGAAATATAAACAAAACATCTCCAGTCATGATAAATCCTTACTTGGGGAGCACACACTTATGAATTTGAATCCATTTAGGAACTTCATTAAATTATAGCACACTGCAATAATTGAATCAGCCACTTTTAGCTCCTATATGATTTGTCATGCTTAGAAAGCTAATATCACTATTAGGTGTCTAACCATGAAAAAAAGATACTCTCAAGAAGGTGAAATATCCGTGTCGGATATGAGAAAATGAGAGTAATAATTAAACTATATATGTTTAGTACATGTCTATGAAAAACTTGATGATTATTAATTATTATGATATTAACTTAAAAATTCATACTAGATGATTAGACATAACATTTATTTATCATAAAATACTGATTTTTTTATGAATAATATATCATTATTACTATATTTGTGATAAATTATATAATTTTATATATAAAACAAAATTATCTATAATGTGTCCCCAATGTGTAGGTTTCCTACTTTTTTGAGAAATGTCATGTCTGCATGTACATGTCGTGTTGTATCTGTGTTTGTGTCCGTGATTCTTAGTTTGATCAAAGCAAGTTAGAGCCATAAACAGAAACTGGTTTGCTCATATTTATAACCTAAGAAACCCAAAACATGTNTAAGAGCCCAAGGAAAAATATAAGAAATATAAACAAAACATCTCCAGTCATGATAAACCCTTACTGGTGTTCATTTATTCATCCAGTTCACTATTATCACTCGTTTCTATCATTAAATTTCGGTACAATTTTTTAGTAATTTCATGATCATGAGTGTCCACTGCCATTTGTAAATAATCAACACCTTGTCAAGATCATTCTTCCCAATATACAAAATTAAATACTCTTGGAGTAAGGCAACTAAAATGTTGAGCAGATTTGCGTTAAGTATTCAATTGCCTGGCAAATCATGGCAGCACGGATAATAACTCACTGAGCACTATCAAGCAGCATTAATCCAGAAAATACAAATTCAAGGCACCTCAACTTATGCAGGGATTAAATCCTACACATAGAGGGAACAATCATGTTGGGGACAGAGTTCAGTGTTTTTTTGTCCCCTTTTTCATTCTATTGTGATATGTGAAAAATATGCTAATTGGGATTCAGTGGGTCTATTATGTATCACTGGAAGATATCAAAACATCATCAAGAAAGAACAGATGAGCAATGTTCAACCATTGAAAAGGATTTGGGAGAATTGAGCCTAATTTTGTTTGTTTTGGCAACATCAACCCAAGATTCTAGTGTACTTGTCCTGATGTAGAAAACCATCAATGACAAAAAAAAAAAAAAAAAAGATTTTGAAAAAGTTTTGTTTCTGCTTATTTTTCTTATTTGAGAAGAAAGCTTAGTAATCTAAGAAGCATGGATACGGAAACAGGACACAGACATGCCGACATGACATTTCTTAAAAAAGTAGGACTCGGACACGTTACAAAAAAATTATATTTTATATATAATATTATATAATTTATTGCAAATATAGTAATAATGATATACAATTCATAAAATATTCAGTATTTTATGATAAGAAAACTTAATGTCTAGTCATCTGTGTGAATTTTTAAACTAAAACATCCTCGTTATAGTCAATAATCATCATTTTCTTTTTGTAGAAAATGTGTACCTAATATATAATTTAAATAATTGCTCTCATTTTCTTAATTTCTCTTTTTTAAAACTTTTATGCATATTTTATTTTTATTATTTGGATTACAACTTTAATATGTCTAGTATTAATAATTCTATGTTCTCAAATTTTTAAGTTTTGTTAATCACATTTCAACAAATGTATATTATTTAGTAGTAGATACGTTGACACGTCACCAAAGAAGTGTCCGACAGGTGTCCGAAATTACAAATTTATCATTTAATTATGTATACGGATAAAAGAGTATTGGACACGTGTCCGNCCTCGTTATAGTCAATAATCATCATTTTCTTTTTGTAGAAAATGTGTACCTAATATATAATTTAAATAATTGCTCTCATTTTCTTAATTTCTCTTTTTTAAAACTTTTATGCATATTTTATTTTTATTATTATATTTGGAGTACAACTTTAATATGTCTAGTATTAATAATTCTATGTTCTCAAATTTTTAAGCTTTGTTAATCACATTTCAACAAATGTATATTATTTAGTAGTAGACACGTTGACACGTCACCAAAGAAGTGTCCGACAGGTTTCCGAAATTACAAATTTATTATTTAATTATGTACACGGATAAAAGAGTATTGGACACGTGTCCGAGAGTGTCCAAAGGGTGTTGGTGTCCAACACGGATACGTCACGTTCTCGAGAGTGTCCGAGCTTCATAGTTAGTAACAATGACATTCCTTTCTTTTCTCTCCTAAAACTCCCAAACAATGTTAACAGATTATTACTTTATCTTCTCTTTTCCTTTTTATTTTATTTGATTTTCTCTCCTTGGCATTATGTTTGGGTGTTCTCGATTAAAAAAAAAAAAGGTCTTAAGAGGGGAAAAAAAAGAAAAGAAAATGAAAAAATTTTTGCCTTGGGTTATAGGAGATAAAAAAAAGAAAAAGAACTAGGGAGTCCATAAGGAAAGAAAAGAAAAGATAAAAAGGCTCATTCTGTTGTAAAAAAGGTTCATTTTTTATACAACCTCGGAGCGAAAATCACTGATTCGTTTTCCTTTTCTTCCCAAATCTTCACACTTTTGGGAAGAAAAGAGAAGTGGATTAAAGGGTACTTAAGTTCTTGCAAATCTATCTGCTGCCCTCCCCTTAAAAACTCCTAACAAGGGATTCAGTTCTCGCTTCGTTCCATTTCTTTTCTTTTCTCTCCAAATCATTCCATTCCAACAAAAAAATAAAGGTCTTTTTTTTGTCTCTTCAAAACTCACNTTAAGTTCTTGCAAATCTATCTGCTGCCCTCCCCTTAAAAACTCCTAACAAGGGATTCAGTTCTCGCTTCGTTCCATTTCTTTTCTTTTCTCTCCAAATCATTCCATTCCAACAAAAAAATAAAGGTCTTTTTTTTTTTCTCTTCAAAACTCAGAAACACAGTGCAAGTTAAGTTAAACTTGGATACTTTCCGAAAAAAAAATGTTAAACTTGGACATAAAAGGTGCAGCTTACTGGGGGATGCTCTCTTATAAATTAAATTTCATCATATTTCAAGAGTTGAATTTATGTATATATATATATATATATATATATATAATTTTCTCGTTAATCATAAAGTGAAAAATTCACCTGTAGACGCTTTTCCTTCTTTCTTTCATTCCTTTTAGCAGATTTGGTCATAGGCTTGACATCCACCACCGGATCGTAACCCGGAGGCACATCTTGCGACGCCGCCATCTCTTTCTTCCACTGCCATCCTCATTAATCATATCAACATTCCCAAACCAAAAACCACTCAACACATACATATGTGTGTGTGTATGCAATGTATGTGAATCGAAAACCTACCAGAGCGCCTTTGGACTGGTAAATGGCTACTTCATCTTGAGGGACATAGCCAGCCCTAATTCGAATAGGCTTTCGAAGAGTCCCGTCTGGTCTTCTGGTTGGGGCGAGAATTCTCTCTCCTTCTTTTAGGGTTTTGCTGAGCTGTGCTGCTAATTTATTCACATCTTCTTCCCCTCCTCCTCCCCCTCCTCCTCCATTACAAGCACTGCTCGCCATAACCGTGCGATTGCACAGAGAGAGAGAGACAGAGAGAGAGAGAGAGAGAGGGAGAGAGAGAAATTACAGAGAGAAAAAGACTGATGAAGAAGTAAAATTGCTCAAGGTTTTAGTGATTCGTTGCAATTTGGAGTGACGACTGAGTTGAGGTGAGGAGGCGCAAAGCAAAACAAATTAAAGAGAGAGACCGAGTCGGGGACCGCTTCGATTTTGCCCCCTTAAACCTCCTTCCAATTCTAATATATATTCAATTTGATCCAATTCTTTATATATAAATATTTAAAAAATTAAGTAATTTAATTGAAATTTAGTTATAAATTATTAAATTTAATTTAATTAAGTTATTCGATCAAATTTTAAAATATTAATTGATTCAAATAGAGACCACAAACATCAAATCAATCGAATTATCGAATTGAATTTGAATTTGACTCTTGAAATCGAATTAGAATCGGCTAGAATTCGATTCAAACCCCGATTGATTGTCGTAATTGTAAGAATATAATCTATTTTTTTTAATAGTGATTAAAAAAATTAAATAATTAAAATGTCAATTGTAGTTAAAAGTGTAAATTAACTAACAATAATCTCGTGTCTAAAAACACAATGTAATATAAAAAAATCAAATATTTTATCTGTACAATATTTATATTTTAAATATTTTTTTAATTTTTTTTCTCTTTAATTAAGTAATTTAAAAAATTAAACAACAAGTTGGAAAGAGAGAAGAAAGATGTAAATATGGATTAGGGAGGATGTTTGGTATTAAGAAGTGCGTTGATTATATTACATGATATTGGGGGCTGTAATGTTTTTGGGCGGAAAAAAATTTGTGTTAATTTTTTTATCATTGGGTCAATATTGACCATTGATCTACTTTTATAAATTGAAAATTCAACTTCTTAGTTGTAATATAAGATAAATAGTTGTGAATAAAATATTTGTCTTTAAATATAGGTTGTTTAAGCAGTTGATATATTTTATGTTTTCAAGATATTCTATTTTATTATATGAATTAATATTAGAAAATAGTTAAAAATACAAAACATATTAAGTAAATTAGTAAGATTCAGTAACATTTTCCAAAACTTAAACACAAAATTTTCGTCCTAAAATTTGCAGCAAGACTAATACTTGCCCCGCTCAAGGTTAGTGGTTGACCTAATGACTACCACTCCCACCATTAAACTTTAAAGTCATGGGATCAAATCTTATCGCCTCTCTCCTATATACTTGATAAAAAAAATAAAAATACTTGCCCGCTGTGATGTTGGAAATAGATTTTTTAGCTCAAGCCCAAGACCCACCCCAGTATTCTTTCAAAAATTTATATTTTTTTTTCTTAATTGTTCAATATTTTCATATGTAATCATCCAACTTACACATCAAGTATATATAACGTTATTAATCTCTAAGTAAATATTTTAAGGCCAGATCAGACAAACCCATTGTTTGATTAAGACCTCAATATGCATCAGCT